TATTTTCTGTCGGAGCGTTGGATGAGAAGGGGGTGAAGACGGATCTACTTTCGGCACCTCCGGCCCTGCGAAGCCGGAACCTGTCTTTCCCCATATCAACAGCAGAGGTGCCTCGAATGTACGTCGTGAATCTCATCCTGGACGACCTGAATCCCGACCTGCCTAGTGCTCCGCTAGTTTTCCGTGCCGATACCGATGCCGGTGTCTGGCACCGGAGGATGGGACATTGCAATGCGCGCGCCCTGAAGCAGCTCTCGGATAAGGAAGGCACCGGCATCAAGTTCACCACCAACATTCGACCAGGTGACTGCGAAGTGTGCGAGATATCTAACAGCAAGAAGGCGAGTCACCGCCCAGTTTGCCGCGCCCGTTCACCGACGCGAATGATGCTTATGCATCTGAACCTGTGGGGGAAGCATGGTGTGCCATCGTCAGCGGATGTCAGCATATCGCAATTGTCACCGACGATAAGTCTCGCATGCGGTGGGGCATCCCCCTGAAGACAAAGGATGAAGTGACTGACGCGCTCGAAACCCTGATTAAGAAGTCGCCGACCCCGAGGGCATCTGCGTCGGGAAAATCCATTGCGATGGCGCAGCCGACTACAACGGTAGGTTCTTAGCAATGTGTCGGTCCTTCGGGATTGCTGTGGAGACAAGCCCCCCGTACGTCCCTCAAGGGAATGCTGTCGCCGAACGCGGTTTCGGGACTGTCATCGGCGCAGCACGTAGCCTCATGCTTGGAGCTCCGCACCTGCCGCATCAACTGTGGGCGGAAGCCGTGAAGGCCGCCATTTACATCACGAACCGCACACCTACTGACGTCCTGGACGGCAAAGCACCACTTGAGGTTTGGGAGGACAAACCACTCGGCAGCTTGAAGCACATGCATGAGTGGGGGTCTGTAACGTTTACACATTTAGAAGCTCGCTCGCGAAACGATAAATTTTCTGCCAGGGCGAGGAAGTATTACATGGTGGCATACAATACAACCAGCAAGACGTGGCGGCTATGGGACCCGGCGGAACCACTCAAAATTTCAAACTCTGCTGAAGTGTCATTCCGCGAGGTAGATGCCCGCGACGTCGCTCGCCCCATGCACGGGTCTGACCCATTTCCCGAACAAGGCCAGATTTTCCAGCCCGGCATTATCACTGGGGCCGAGACAAGAGACGAGGAAGCAGAACCGGCAGACACGAGCGACGGACCGGACGAAGAACCGCCCGCGGTGCGCAAAAGCGGTCGCACGACAAAGTCGCGGAACCGTCTGAACCTGTTTGCGACGGAGCAGGTGTTCGAAACAGAATACGCACTGGTGATCGGAGGTGAGATCGGGAACCTTGGTCAAGGGATGCCTGGCCAACTAGGATACATGCCCGCCGATCTACCGAACTACCGCGCAGCGGTCAACGGATCAGATGCCGTTGGATGGATGAAAAGCATGGAGGAGGAGAATCGCTCCTTACTAGACCACGACGTTTATGAGTGGGTCGATTCCCCGCGCGATGCTCAAATCATCCCGTCAAAATACATCTACAAATGGGCACCGGTAGCGTCTCTCCAAGCCGTCCATCTGATAGTGGCGCATGCTCCCAAGAATTGACTTATTCTTCGCCAAGCCGACATCAGGACGGCGTTCCTCCACGCGAGGATGGAACGGAGATCGAAACCAGTGTACGTCATTCCCCCGGAAGGATTCTCGTGCGACAGCGAGAGAGCCAGGCAAGTCTGGAAGCTCAGATCGTGGCTTTACGGGTTGCGTTTTTCCCCAAAAGGCTGGTGGGGCACTCTGCACGATTTTTTCCTGAAGATCGGATTTGTTGAGAGCACCGCTGAACCGTGCTTGTTCATCCTGAAAGACGGAGATGTGCTCCTTCTCGTTTATGTGGATGACATCCTGCTGACCGGGGAGGGCGAGAACAAAGTGCTGAGCATAGTAGATCAGCGGAATGAGCGTTTAGAAACGGTGGACCTGGGAGGAGCCAGGTTCCTGCTCGGTATGGGAATCAACCGAGACAGAGCCGCAGGGACAATTCTTTTGGAACAGGAAGCGTACACCAACGCAGTGTTGGACAAGTTCGGCATGGCCGACGCGCGTCCGACGACATCTCCGTCTGAGGCTGGACCGGTGTCCGTCTTGGAGGACGAGGTGTTGTCAGCGGAGGATACCACATATTTCCGCTCCGCCACAGGCTCGCTTTTATATCTCAGCAGGTGCACAAGGCCCGACATTACTCACTCCGTGATGGTTCTGACGCGGTGTATGGCGAAACCAGGTCCGAGGGCGATGCAGAAACTCAAACGCGTGCTCAGGTACCTGAAAGGGACGATATCAATCGGTGTACGCCACGGCGAGGATGCCGAAGATGGAAACGTCATTACGGCGTTTGTCGACTCAGATTTTGCAGGCGACCTAGACAAGGGCTACTCCACCACGGGAGTCGTCCTGTACTTCGCTGGTGGACCGGTGGAATGGACATCATCCAAGCAAACGGTGGTGGCGACCTCTTCCGTTGAAGCAGAGTTCGTGGCTTTGTCGAAGGGGTGCAACATCATCAAGTACTTCCGCCACCTGCTGGACACCATAAATCAGACTCAGGAAGAAGCAACCGTGGTGTGGAAGGACAACTCGGGAGCTCTGAAATGAACTCGCAGCTTCCGTATCACCCCAAGGACTAAGCACATTGACGTAAAGTTTCACCACGTAAGGTCGCTGGTAGCTGATGGAGTCGTAGACGTGAAGCAAATATTCGACGTCGCTTCAGAAAGCGGATATTTTTACAAAAAAGCTAAACCCGTTGGAGTTTTCTCCGCGCCCGTGGCATGCTGTTAGGAGTTTGATCACCTCGCCTCTTCGTAATCAGGCTTTATGTCTTGAGGGTTGGATGGTGTACGTGTGTGTATATGTTTAAAGAATATTCGGGAGATTTGTGTTGAAGGAAAACATTCGCTGCTGATGCAACGCAGCTGAGAAAGGCAGAACAATTGATAATGAGTCAGAAGATAACATTGTTTCGAGAGGACATGGATATTGTTTCGAGAGGACAGTGAGAGAGAATTGGATCTGATGCATTGGTACTAGAACGACGTAGTTCTTGAGAGGACATGTTGGAGTAAGTGCAGTACAAGAACGACTCTATTCTACTGCATGGGTTTATGCAGTATTGTGAAGGCGTTGCCAAGTCTGTAACCGTCAGGTGAAGACAGCTTGGGCGTCTGTGTGGATAGTAATATCACTGTGTGTTTGCCTACCTAACCTCGCATCACATGCTAGCTACTTTGTAGCCACAGCTGAACGAATAGCTATACAGCGACTGCAGTGACAGTGCTGTTGCCTCAACACTATGATCGCATCGTTCGAGAACGGCCTCCACCCACACATCCGCACCGAGATGAATCGGGAAGATGCCAACGAAACATTCATGGAATCCAAAGGACGAGCTCGAAAACACGAAGCTAATGGGTTGCAATAATCACCTTTTTCGTCCAACGATATCTCCCTTGCTGTATCTTCCATGTACGCACCGACCGGAAACCAGCTCAGCATCCAGAACGAATTGCTGACAGCGCGGGTCAATGCCCTCGAGGAAGCCATCGAACAAGGCAATCACGTCTCCAGCATCACCAAAAACACGAACGACCGGTCGCGCGACAAGAAAGCCCGGGACAATAGCGCCAAAATGGTGACCTGGCGGGACCGCGCCGCCGGTCGGGCAGGTCAAGATGGGAGATCGACCAGCAAGACAACGCGCACTCAACAACAGGAATGCGACTTCTATTTGTGCAAGCACACAAATGGGAGGTTCTCCCACAGCCGTGCGGACTGCCACCATGAAGCTACCCTGAAAAAGCACAAGTTGAAGATAGTGCGAGACACGTATACGGTTGCCCACGGAAGCTAGGTTCCTCGGCTGATGAGGGAAAAGAGTCGCTTGGGAGAATACCAGTGCACGGAACCAGGGGGGCCGAACACCAACCCACGTGGAAAGGTACCAAGTTGGACAAGAGGGATAACGAGCATCGAATAAAGCGTTGAAGTAATCTGGAAGCAGATAAGGTGCACCGGAAAAAAGCAGCCGTGGTACTACGTGGTAGGCAGCCGTGCGTGATAGCTCAACAGTCGCGTAAGGTATGTCTCGATAGGAGTGCTCCAGTAGCTGCGCAGGTGGACACCGTTGCCATAGTCAACAGGTCAGTAGCGTTAATGCCGCAACAGGCGCGGGTAGAGTAAAACTAGCGGTCGAACGAGCACCGCAGGCTCTATACGTAGCTACAGCAGTAACTAGAGGTCTCAAGTCGAAGCATAGGTCGAGAAATTTGACTGCCGACGATAATCATGAGGAATTTTCTGCATTCCACATGTCAGCGCTAGCTGGGTACCCTTAAAATCCATCTGCGTTGAATGCTGCGTCAAAACGGGTACGCATTCCTGCCAGAATCAACAATCAATCGGTTGCTGAAACTACAATCGATACAGCGTGTGACGTACCATGCATATCTGCACAATTAATGCGTCGTCACCAAACGCTCAAAAACACGGAAATATTTCCCGTGCCTCCCGGAGCAATAAATCTGCGAAGCGCAGATGGCTCACCTCTTAAAATTAGAGGATATACTCGTTTTGAAAACTGGGAGAAATAACGATTCCTGTCGAAGCACTAGTGTTGCCGTCGTTGGGACCCGATAACATGCTGCTAGACAATAGCATCATGGGAGCATTCGGTGCTATGTTAGATTGGCAAGCAGAACAGCTGTCATTCAAGACTTCAGAGGTAAAAATAACCTCGACACACCGAAGAACAAAACAGCCCGCGACCACATCGGCAGATGAAATTAATTGCTCAATAGTAGCTTTAGACGGTGATACAGAACCAGTGCCTGTCTATCTCAGCAAGAAATGCTGCGTTCCTGCCCGAGATGAAATAGCAGTGGAAGTACATTCACTTGGAGCTCCGGCAGAAACAACACCGGGTTTAGTAGAACCACGCATAGTCACAACTGAAGACATGCAGGTTCAAGGTATTCCACAAACATTTCGCAGGATAATAATAATGTGTGTCACTGGTCCGCGAACAACAAATGGGCGGTGGTCCAAATAGCCAATCCCTCCCATCGACAAGTGTACCTCAAGAAAAGCACGCTTGTAGGGCACATCTCTCCCGTGAAAACAGTGTTGCCGCAGACAGCGAGCAGTGTTCAAACGAGTAAAGAAGAGACGGCCAAACACCGTCAAGACCTACAAAAGGCACTTTCCAAAGCTTTCAAGAATACCACCTTTTCGCCAGCTCAATGTGAAGAAGTACTGCCATTGTGTACGAAATACCGTTCAGTTTTCTCATTAACGCCTGACGAGCTAGGTAGATGTACTATCGCGGAAGCTGATTTTCCCCTCGAACCAGGTACAAAACCTGTAAATAGGGCTCCGTACCGCGCAAACCCACGCGTGCAAGAGGTGATCGACAAATGCGTTCACGAAATGGAACAAGCGAGAATTGTTGAACAACGACCAAGCCCGTGGGGATCAGCTGTAACGTTGGTAGCAAAGCTGACGGCTCTCCCCGGTCCTGTGTAGACTACAGAGCCACGATCAACAAAAAATTGATTCGGAAATCATGGCCGATGCCGGAAATGGCTAGCCACATTGATACAGTAGCAGGTGCAAAATTCACTACTGTATGCGACGTACAAAGCGCGTACCACCAAATACCAATCGCCGAAGAAGAACAAGACAAATCGGCATTCGTAACACGAAATGGGGAATGGGTTTGCAAAAGGCTTCCCTTCGGGATTGCTAACGCTCCCTTCCTCTTTCAACGTACAATGGCGTTGGCGTTTGCACGTTTTGGTCCCAAATCCGGGCTCCTGGTATACATGGATGACTTAATCTGTTTTTCATCGACATGGGAGGGACACTTAAACCTGTTGGAAAACACGTTCCAAGCTTTGCAAGCAGCAGGGTTCACCTTGAAACCATCCAAAGTACAATTCGGACCACAAGAGGTGAAATACTTGGGACACATTCTCTTATCAGATGGAAAACGTCTTGGTGAGGATCGGATAAAAGCGATACTAGATATACCAATGCCAACAAACATCAAAGAGCTGCGATCAGTGCTGGGGACAGTCAACTATGCGCGGAATTTCATTCCAAACTTGGCGACAGTCACCGCACCCCTGGTTGACCTCACGAAAAAAGAGGCAATGAAGTCAGTGGCAAGACGTTGGGGACCGGAGCACGATGAAGCGTTTGCGCAAGTAAAGAAATTGCTCACCGCAGCTCCTCCTGTCTTAAACTTTCCGGACTTTTCTAAAGAATTTATAATTCATGTCGATGCTTCTAATGTTGGTACAGGAGCATTCCTAGCCCAAC